TTCTCTTCCTACCTAATACGCTAGACCTCTATAGACCGACATCAGTTGTTTTAAACCAACTTAACATCAGAGATCTTAAACTCAATTAGTTCCAGAAACAGCAATATAATGTGTAGCAAACATAATCATATAGGATTAGTATCCTATTTGAAGTGGATTACAGCCAAGAAGGCCAAACAAGGTACAAATAACGAGCAGTTTTATTTATCTATGGATCCGATTTTCATATCAAAGGTAAATCCTACCTACTTAGAGATACATGCGGTTTTACTGTAAAAACATAATTCATCAAATTAAAAAGTATTGCTTAAAAAACAACCAGTAGGGGTCGCTCAATGAACACTGGACATCCGCTACAGGTCAGTGAGTTTTGTTCAGGAGTATCCGTACCGCTTGTGTGGTCTGGAGCGGAGCGATAATTGTCATTTGCAAGGGATACTTGTGGCTGTGTGCGCATCGATTTTCCTTATTTACGGATATTGTGCTTCGGACAGATGCATGGAGAGATTGCATTAAGTTTTTTTTTCATAGATAGAATAGACCTGCTTTGTACCAGAAGCGGGACCTCAGATGCACTGGGGCACCCTAATGTAGGCCTGTATACCTGTTAAGAGATTTAAAAGCCCGTCTGAAACGTGTTGAAGCAGGAAATGTGAGTTTCCATTTGGATATCTCTTTTTATTATGCAAAAACAAATGTTTATGTCCTCAAATGAATCACCTAGAATTGCAGATTGTATAGTAATATGGCAGTATTTAACACACCAGTATACCCAGTCAGTCTCATAAGAATGGGAGATAACTAAATAATGTAACTGGTTATGTATTCACCAGATCACAGTGGATTGTTACATTGTGTCAGCATGCTCACGTAATGACAATCTGGCCATGAAGCGAAGGGTCGAACGGACCGCCAGTGTGCAGTAGCCTTTCAGTCACCCAGCAAGACGGTGTGAAATACACGATAGCGCTGCGGCGAGCTGAGATTACATCATCGCTGTACTCTGCCAATAATAGCTGAGGTCATTGCAATTACACCACGTATTATTTTAATGACCCTTATTATTGAATGGAGAGTCAAAATGACCATAGACTATTTGATTTATGAAGAAATCGGGATATTGCTTAGTATAAGCAGGTATCTGAACAATTTCACTATTTAAAAGTATGTCAAACCATCTCAGCAGACGTTGTGCTTAAAATGGCTTCCCAAAGTGCTTTCCCGCTCCAGTGATCGTTATTTATGCAATAAAATCCTTTTAGTACAAACATTGCAGCAAAGCGCTACACAGACCAATTTTCAGAGGTAGCCTAATTAAAATGAAGACCTAAAAGGCTTTATAGGAAATGTATTATTTTATGACACACTGGGAGGTACATAGCCGAGAAACACTCTCAGGAAATATTACATTAATAATGTAGAAATTATTCATGTATGGATACAAAAATGTGTAACACAACCAAAAGTCTGCTGATCAGAGGTGATATTCGGTAAAGTGAATGTCACATGTGGCATGACTAGAACTGCATCTGCGGGTTATGTTTTCCTTTTTTACATATCATTTTTTAATCCAATGTCGAGTTTCATAAACCGACATAAATGGAAAGTTTGCGTCTTGGCGTGCGGCATTAACGGGGTTCGTACTCGGCGTTAAGTTTCCAACAAGCCGTTTACTCTGGAAAAAAAAGAAAAGAAAAAATTCCGCTTGACTTCCAGGTGATTCATCGATGTGAAATGAGAAATGCCGACGCTGTCTGCCCAACTGCTTGTAAACCACCTTAATGCATGACAACGTCCCACAATGACCGAGTTGTTTTTGTTCGGACCAGACACAGTGCATAACAATGAAGGATTAATTGTGGCAGTTAAAATACACTTTATTGTCTGTTTGACGTTTCTGTTTTACTTCAAGTGTCTTAGAGTTGTTAATTTACTTGTACAGAGCACTTTTAGGGATGCGATTTACATTGCTCAAAGATATTAATACGAAATAACGAGATACTAAGTCGAAATTTCGAGATAATATCTCGAAATAACTATCTCGAAATTTCGATTTATTATCTCGAAATACTTTCACTACCCACTGACATTTGTTTCAGGAGTGTATTTTAATGTTTTGCCCATTTACACTGCTCGAGGCATCACATTACCAGCGTGTGCGTGTGCCAGAGCAGCCCGTGTGACGCCGAGCCGCCTGCGTCTCCTACGGCAACCCAGAGGTGAACTATGCTGTGACGTGCGTCGCGCGGCATGAGAAACCACATTCCTGCCCCAAGTCATACCAACAGACGGGGGGGGGCGTATTTCTAGCATGAGACGATCAAAGGTTGTTCGGAAGACAGCCGAACTAGAGCCACATTCTTCTCTTTCAGTGTGTTTCTAACTTTCCAAAGCCATTTTTTTTCTTTTAGTGACTGGTGTATTGGTTATACTGTTAGCTGGGGGGGTGATGAGTTTGAGCTTAGTTTTCTCCATTAACTGGAAAAATGCTGGTTACACTAGATATGGCAGAAGCATCGCATTAGTCTGGTTATAGCTGCCAGCCACTCATGTAAACAGAGGTCTGTGCAGGGGACAGCATGTTTCATCGGGCCCCCAACCCGGACCAATCCAATTTTTTAGGGCCCCTGTCACTCAGGTAACGACAAGCGATGGACTGGGTGTTTCTGAGGGTCTGGGGCCAATAAAGCAAGGAGGAAAAATAGCTTTTGACACTAATGTGTTACCTGGCCGACCACTGTCACTGCCGGGCACACTTCGGTCACCTATAGCTGATACGATCTGGGCACACGTCTCAGTGAAGTCAGAGAAGGATGCTAGTGTGTAAGAAAGAGGGAGGGTCATGTCTCTGACAAGGTGGTTCACCTCCAGACAGGAATGTCAGCATTTTGGACACACACACAGACAGACACACAGATTTGCAATTACATCTTTGTGGGGACTCTCCATTCATGTCTATGGGGAAAACTCAAAGCCCAACATGACGACCTTAACCCCTACCCAGCCCTAACCTTAACCATAAGTAATCAAACAAAATATGAGACTTCTGGCATTTTTACTTTTTTGGTTGCATTCACAGATCTTTGTGGGGACCTAAAAAACAGTCAGAATAACAGGTTGTTATATTGTGGGGGACGTTTGGTCCCCACAATGTAACATAAAACTAATCCACACACACACGCCCACTGTATCACCACCAATGATCTAATTCAAAACTGACACCGTGTCGCTAAAACGTGGGTGGTCCCCAAATACTTCGTCAGCCGGAAAGGCTTGGAATAAAGCCCACAGCCCAGTCAGTGTCCCTGTTGGAATAAAGCCCACAGCCCAGTCAGTGTCCCTGTTGGAATAAAGCCCACAGCCCAGTCAGTGTCCCTGTCTCCAGCTGCACTGCCAGTGCTGTCCCTCTGTTTTTCTTATAAATCACATAGCTCTGATTCACCAGGCATTTCTTTCTCAAGTCTGAAGACCTGCTGAGATCTCAGGGTCCAGACTAACGTTTTCCACTAGTAGCACTGCTACTCCTTACTGGGGGACCAGCACCACATGTAGGTGTATGACTTACATCAATATGCAAAGTAACACATTCATATTTTTTTCCATTTTAACTGTTTTACCGACAAATGCTTTGGTAATAAACATACAATTTACAGAAATAACAATGTGATATTTTATTTTAATGCAAAAAAAAAAGTCACAGAAAGTGAAGTAGTGCTTTAAGAGAAAAAAATCATTGAGTTAAATGGCATCTTTTTAAACATCAACACCAAAGTTCATTTTATTGTTACCAAAGGACCAAGTGAGAGTGAGACTTATTATGGACGGGACACAGGTAGATGACATCCTGTGCAGAATCATACCCAACCCACATTTATGATGACAGCCTGTCCTTAGCTCTCCACTCTAATCACTGTGTATCTTGTACACGCACACGCACACACACAGTAGGGCTGGGAATTGTTTAGACTTTGCAGATTACAAATCCGATTCTGATTCTGCTCAACAAATCCGGTTCTTATTGATTCCTGGTTCAATTAATACAGTAAAAAAAATGTTTCAGTAACAGAACACTGCATTTATTGTTCAACTTTTACAGCAAAGGTTACTTGACGCAGGTCTGTCATCTCCAAATTTTGTTAAAACAAAAACAGGGTGTTTCAAGATATAAATAAATAGGGTTAACGAACATACCGAGTCTTGGATGACAGTTTGCTACTGATGTCAGTAGTACTTTACAGGTCTGTTTAACCTTGGAAACTGGATAGTAGGCAGGTCCAGTTTTAATAATCGGTTAATGGCAAGTAAGTCCGGGTTTCATCCATAACGCAGCTTAATACAGGAGGTACATAATGTTTGAAATTGAAACAAAGACTGAATATATATACTTTCTCTCTGCAGCCATGCATCTGAAAACATATAATACCCACTTATTCCATGGTTATTACACATTTGACTTCGTACATAAAGATTGCCTGCTGTTAAACCCAAAGGCCAATTTCCAAACTAACAACTGGCTTCCCGTTCTGGTGGCTTGGGGTCATATATAACCAAAACATTTAATAGTAGCAGGTGATATCTAATTTTTGATACTATCCTTATATTACATTTCGGTTTATGGCATTTCTACTATATTTTAAAAAGCAACACTAATCCCCCATGAAACAATTCCGCCAAAATGAAATACACTATGCTGCCATTATACCGCCCAAACCTAGAACCTAAATAGTTCTACTAATAAATGCGTTTTCGGTCTGTAAACATGAAAATAATTTCAAGTACAATCGTGTACGTGGAGTTGTCATGCAGTAACCCTTACATAGTTGATTAAGAATGCATGTGTAGTAATTGATGAACTTCCGGTTCCTAAAAATTTAGAAGTGTCTACTTGAGAACCGGTTCCAAATACTGAACCCTACACACCAATCCTTGCTCCTTCCTTGTGTTTCACGTGATATACAATGATGGCTAGTAATAATAAAAATACAAATGGCCAGACACACCAGTGTAAACTATCTCCTTTAGTCTCCAGTATTTCCTGTTACATAGTTTCTAACACTTCCTGACACAAACATTACATTTGCTCTGTTTAGTCACGATCTTTCTTTTATTTCCCCCCAGTCCTTCACACCAGCAGGTTCGGCTGGCAGGCCACCACTCACGGCTTCCACTCCCCCCACGGATCTCAGCCAGTGGGATGCATGGGGAAAAAAAAAAAAAAACTCACACGATGGAAATAAATATGAAAATCAGCCATAAAAATCAGTCAAATTGCAACATCTAAAAACTGCACGAAAAACAGTCAGGCTTCATTTTTGTCTCCCAGCAGATAAGGGAGGCGTCTCACCACGAACACCCTGTCGGAACGATAAGCCGGCCATCAGTGACAGGAAGGTCATCAACAACCCCCAGCTAGCTATCTTGTCACGGTTTGCTACACCGAAGGGAAGCAGCAGGTATGTCAAACATGAGTGTGGTTTTATTGGCTTTCCAAGCCTGACATTCCTTTCTGGTGCACAGACCCTCCGAATACATGCCAGAAGGGTATGTAGATCAACGTTAAGAAAGACGTCCTTCAAAAAAAGTCTCACTTGTATGTTGGCTTCATGATCCAACCCAACCCCTCCCCCGACGCTAAATGTTCATGCCTAACATAAAAAAAAAAAAAGGCACAGGGCGTTCTCAACATGCTGGACCCGCAAAACCAAAAAATAAATAAATTAAAACACTACACGCTGTAGGTTCCCACCCCACCCCCACCAAGCCACTGTGTAACCCTTGGGCCACACGGTGTCAGACCCTGTAATGGCGCCAATTACTGGGGCTCCTCCCCCGGCCAGCTGGAGCTCATCTGGGCGTCCAAACTGTGGGTCACTGCTTCTGCCTCGCAAGGGGACAGCCCCCGCTCTTCCTCACTGTGACGTTCCTGTCCCAGAAAGCCCGGTAGAAAAAGCGGACCAGGATTGGTCATGCCTCACTCCTTGGGAAACCTAGTGCGCTCCCCCTCCCCCCAGTGCCCAAACATGAACCAGTCTTCATCCTGGCCGGTTGGTGGGGCGGGATCAGACCACCCTGAGCCTCACCCCTTTCACAAACGATCAGGGGATGCGATGTGGAGGCTGAGCATGTGCAGTTCTCCTGGCTGTGATGGCAAGAGGCATGGCAGCGCCAAGCCATTATCCCCAGCATGGACCGCTCACAAAATGACACAGCGGAGCCGGTGAGAGCCGGTGGACCTGTCCCCACGCCACTTGGCCTTCTTTTTCTTCTTCTTCTGGCTCTTCTCTGGGATTTCCTGCCTGCAGGAAAGAGTGGGATGTTAGGAGGAAGGAGGGGGTAGAACAAGGTTTTAGGCTGATAACCCTGGTAACTGTCACCATGGCCCCCAGGCAGAAACAGGAAGTGATGACAAGGGAAACACAATCACTGTCAGCCCGGGGATTCCGGAGCGCTTCCTGTCCAGGGAAACGGTGCCTCGTAGCAGCATGTGAGCAGCAATTTACCGAAGCCCTGGCAGCTTTGGTTTGATTTAGACCAGCTGTGAGGGCAGATCTGCATTTCCTCAGAACACTTCCTGGGAAATACTTTGAGGCACTCCGACAAAAACAATGCCGTCACTGGATACAGAACAGCAGGCCTCCTTTGACTAATCTCACAATTTGTCATTCATAAACGAGGTTGTTGTTCTCAGGTTCTCAGAACGGTGTGGTGCGCTCTGAAGTGCGGGTGGTACCATCCTGGGCACGCTTCAGCCAGCCCACCGCGACTTTTTGTTTCATGTGCAGAAAAACCAAAACCGCTCAAGGCTGCATGAAAAGGTTTTTGTGAGCGTTATAATTCTGGAACAAGTTTTCTTTATAATATGGATCCTAATCCCTTCTGGCTTGGAGATCTTTTTGCAAAGATGAGTCTTGCTTTACATGGTTGTGCCTGTCCTAACCGCTACGTTTTTCAACAGTGTTCCCACTAGCTTCTAAGTGCTTTACCAGTAAGGATGCGTCTGCGTTACCCTCCAACTGTCTCAACAAGGTGATATGCTAAGCGCTAACTGCCTCAACGATGGAGAAGTGCCCGCGCCAAGCGCTAACTGCCTCAACGATGGAGAAGTGCCCGCGCCAAGCGCTAATTCCTCAACAATGGAGATGTGCCCACACCAAGCGCTAACTGCCTCAATGGTCGAGATGTGTCTGTGCCCACTAATTGCTTTGATAGGAGAAGCATCAGCTAAACATTCAAAACAGTCATGCAAGTCTGCTGTCATTAGCTGGATATCATATGGAAAGACAGCTAATGGTGACAAACGTGCGACTTGACATGCGTATCAGAGCTGACCTACCTGATCACTCTGACCAGCTCATGAAATGCTTTGTCCACATTCATGGGAGGGTCTTTGGCACTCGTTTCGATGTATGTAATCTGTATGAAACACGTAATTAACGAACATGAATATCATTCTGGACTTCATCAGCCCTCATTTCACATGCTAAGGCTGCACATCTTACAACAACCCTTCACTGCCAAGCCAAAACCTGTCACTTGGATTATGGGCTCTGTTCACACTCCGAACACTCTCACTCTCTTTCATTCTCTCAGTTACACGTCTCATGGGCGTTAGCGCTCTCAGCATGACCTCAGACTTCCAAGAATAGCAAAGTTTGTTTTTGAGCAACACATCTACAGGCATGGCAGAGTTCAAGCTGACAGCAGCCTGTTGGTACACTGATGTAGCGAAGCGGGGAGGCGTGGCCTCATACCCTGTCCCACATGGACTCTCTCCTACCCCCTGCTGGACAGCCGCCCCTGTAGATTCCCCACAAAGCCATGTGGAGACGTCAGTTAAGCTAGTACTTGTTTATATCAATTTTTTACATTATTCGTGTATGTTGTTCAGACATCCTGTTCTACTGTAATCTGTAGTGTCTGTGTTTATATATTATTTTATTTATATAGCACTTTTCTCACACTGAAGATATAATATAATACAGACAACACAATGTGATACATTTAAAGAAATTGATGAACAGAACATGTGATAAGGATAGTAACTGGTTTACTTTCTGTGTCAAACAACCGTGGGAGCTTTCATTTAGGGCCCAGGCCCCTGAGGGCCCACTGAGGCTCCCCCTGACACTCACACTGTGCTTGGCCGCCATCTCCCTGCCCTGCTCAGTCGTCACCTTCCTCAGGTGCACCAGGTCCACCTTGTTGGCCACCAGGACCATGGGGAAGGACTCCCTGGAAAGGCAGAGACCCAAACACATCACAAGACCGGCGTCAGCTGTACACTAAGTGCTTGGAACCTAACAGGTGCTCAGTTGACGTCCCGGTGGGAGCCCTAGCGTTGGATCTTTAAGAAGGAAGATGCTTAACTGCATGACTAAAGATGACCAGCTGAATAAGCAAGAAAAATTGTCCCTGAAGAACAAGAACCAAAAAAATAGCTTTGGATTTACATGCTGGCTAAAAGCTAACATGCTAAGAATAAGTAGAAATTCACAGGGTAGCTAGTGTCAAGCGGGTGGATTTAGAGCTGGTACCTGGAGGGAGATCTCACCTGTCCTTCACACGCAAGATCAGCTGGTGGAATCGGTCCACATGCTCGAAGCTGGCCTTGTCTGTCACGGAGAAGACGATGAGGAAGCCGTCACCTGTGCGCATGTACTGCTCTCGCATGGCACTGAATTCCTCCTGGCCGGCCGTGTCCAGCACTGCAGGGATGGAGGCAGTGTAGCATTCAGGAGTGCAGAACAAACCCTCACGGCCTGTCACACTTCATCCAAACGCACGTGCGCCAACTTGGCTGTGCCCTGTGCTCTGAGTTTAAGTACTAGTGACCCAGCCAAGCGCATGCATATGAAGTGGTATGTGTTCAGAAAACATGATTTAACTCCTTGCACTGTGCTCTGGGCAATGGTTCCTGAAACTGAGTCACAGATTCAGGCTGATGAATCACCCAAAAGGGGGAAAAAAAAAAAAAAAAAAAACAGAAACAAGAGAGCGTGACTGTTGGAATGCGTCAGAGTAGAGGATGCCGGTCGTCACGCCCACGGCAGAGCCAGCCGCGGCATTTTGGGTCCTGGG